GTACTTTAGGGAAGGGTCTATAGGGTGTTCAGGGTCACTACTAGATCAGACTGGTAGTGATCTGCCTGTTTACAGCCTCCCAAGAGCTGAGAATACAGACACGCACCACCACGCCCAGTCCCAATTGCAGTCTCAGCGCACCTGGGGAGGGGGTCAGCAGGGCAGGCCCAGGGATTCAACACCCAGGCCCCTGAGCCTGCCTGCAGGCGCTTTAATCTGCTGAGCTATTTGGCCGGCCCTACCAATTAGAGCTTGACAAAATATTTTAAGTAGATATTAATCTAAATACTTTTCCTGTCACATGAAACAGAAATAACATCTTTGTTAAGAAAATTCAAATTTAGATTTGCAGAAAATTTTTTTAAAATGTATGTATCTTCTTCCTACTTTCTGGCCATGCCTGTGACCCCTGACAAGTAATGTCATAGAATAACTAATGCACACACACACGTACACCTACACCTAGACCTCTACCTCCACACACCCTTGTTCCTTAGCAATAACTGCTCAGCAGTTTCATATGAATTCTTCAAAAATAAATGCTAATGTATATATGCTCATGTATTTTTGTGAACACAGAGAAAAAAAGGAATTAAGATGTATTGTGTATGGGTACCAACTCTATACTAAAAATGTAAACATTATGTACTATAAACACGTACAAATAAAGAAAATGGATCTGGAAAACAAAGAAAAAATACAAAATGTCCAAAATTCTACTTCATAAGTACTATCTTTCATTTGTGTTAAAAACAAAAAATAAAGCTATCAAATTTACTATAATGTTACCAGTGATTTTTCCCACTGGTAACATTATATTCCCATTTTTTACATGGTTTTCATGTAATTTAAATCCCTTCAAAATGTAAGCAAATATCTATTATGAGCAAAGCACCATGCTCTATACAGGGTAAAACACAGCCTCTTCTCACAGAAAGCCTGTTGCTTATAAGGTGGAGGGACAAAAGGAGGGACAAAAGGAGGTAAATAGTATGATAAATTGCCTAATGCCAGAGAGGCTGGGGCCAAGCCCAGATTAAATGAAGAGGACAGCAAATAGCTTGCCACAAATTTGACAACACAGCCTTAGAATTCAACCCACTCTTGTTTGCTTCCAGCTCCCTTACTGCTTCTGGTGTATCACCATCTTCTTCCCACCAATTCTAAGCTCTCTAAACTTGACTTGTTTCCAAATATTTTTAAACCTTAGGTGATAACAGGACAGCAAACTTGGATTAGGATGACACTGCTACGGCTCTGAAATTACAAAGGAAAGCCAAACAATAAATAGCATGTTAATCACTGTACAGACTTTGCCTCTGTAATTCTCTACAATGTTTTCTTCTTTCATAGGGCAGGGTGGGGTATTTAAAACCAAAGAGATCTCTCTCAGATCATGAAGGTGAAAAATAGTATGATTTAGCATTCTGATGTTTTTCTAAAAGGGATAATCATACATGCTCTACTAAAGCACAAAACCAAACAGTAGCTCCAGGGAAGGTGCATAATCTTGTTTCTCTTCAACAAAGACACCAGTGTGACAAATAATTCTGGCTTAAGAATCCAATAGCAGTCATTATAAAGAGTCTATGCGTTCATCCTAAGTCAGCCAGATCTCTTAGAACCTACCAATTTGTGCCTGCTCTCATCTCTACGGCTGTGGTCCTCCCACAGAAGGAACAAAAGACCAGAAGGAGAAAATGGTACAAAATGTCAGGATGAGCAATGTTTTCCCGTCAAGTCAGGCATTCATGTACAGGAACATATTCATAGGTTTTCGGGAAAATATTTTCTTTGTTTCTAGGCTGAATCTTCAAAAAAGCCACCTAAATCACTAAATATCAGCATCCTTACGAAAATGGAAAAAAACAGGAACCTGAAATGGTTATAAGTTGAGATGTTAGGCTTAGCGAGATAGCTCAGTAGAATAAGCACTTGCCTGGCAAGCAAAGGGTCCTGAGTTCAATCCCCGGGACACCACACACACAAAAAAAGTTGAAATGTAATATTAGGTTACTCCAAGTACTTGAGAAGTCTGCTCATACATATCTTATAAATTGTTTCTTGCACTAAAATGTAATTTTAGATATTAAAAACTGGGTTTTTTTTTTTTCAGAAACAGGAACTCACTAAGCGGCCCACGCTGGCTCCTAACTAGTCACCCTCCTGCTTCAGCTTCCCAACTAGCTGAGATCACATACAAGTGTGTGTGTGCCACCACACCTGGCAGAAAGCTACCCACCGGTCAGGAAAATTGTGGACTACATTACACCTAGTACAATATTTATTGTGATTTTTTTCCTTCTGACATAAGATTTAGTTTCCCTAGCTCTCCAAAGGACACAGTTGCAGAACCTCTTTCAGCTGGTCTTGCCTGAAAATAATAGAGATTAAAGATATTAGAAACAGATAATCTTGTTATACGTTAAAAAACACACACATTAAGTTAATAAACAATGAAACAGAAACATGAACCCACTAAGAAAAGTGGTGCCTTAATAATGTTACCTGAGAATCATGGTATTTCCATCCTATCATGTGATAGATTTGGTATGTGGCAGGTACTGAACCATCCGAATTTCTGTACATTTCTATAAAGACAAATAATAGTTAAAGTCTGAAAAAAATTGCTTCATAAAAACCACCTTCTAGGGCTGGGGATATAGCTCAGTGGCATACGCGCCTGCCTAGCAAGCACAAGGTCCTGAGTTCAATCTCCAGTACAGGTAAAAAACAAACAAACAAACAAACAAACCTTTAAAAACCACCTTCTCCAAAGAAAAATGGGTGCTAGGAAACGGTATGATTCTGAGAATGCCTCACATGAAAAATTCTTACTACAGAGGGGTTGACAGTAAGGAAATAAAGAGCGTTAGGAAAAAAATACAGAGCTACAGGATCTGTGTTTTCAGAGGAAGGACATGAAGTCTGAGGAATGTAAAAGGCATCAGAAGTGTTAAAGGAATCAACTCAGCAAGGCTCAAGCTTGCCAGCCAGGCACAGGTGGCCCATGGTCAGCCTCCTCACCTCTGTAAACTGCTGCCGCCGCCAGCATCGTGTCTCGGTGCAGCAGGGCTTTTCTATTCCAGGAGCAGTTACTCTCTCCCATACCTAAAAATAGATCACAGGGAGTATAAGCAAGAACAGTAAACACCCCAAGTAGCTCAGAACCACAGACTTAACACATCTCCTCCAACAGTGCTATCTATCTTCAGTCTCTGACACTCGTGTTAAAACAAGCTAAATCTCATTTCACTTTCAGATTACAACTCGGCTTCTCAGTACTTTAGAAGCAAAACTGCTTGAAACTTCTTGAATATTAAGGCAGGTGAAGAAGTCAAGGCTCAGGAGGGAAGCCCTACAGTGCTTGCCTTGCCAGCAGTAGTCTAAAGTAAGCCAGCTGGGCAAAAGGAAAGAGACTGACCCCCCAGGTGAGTCATTAGATACCGACAAGTACCTTTCTAAGCAAGACACATCCTGTGTCCCTTTCAGCTCTGTTCCTTGTAAGAGGACAGAACAACTGGCACAACGCCTCACTCCTTTAAAGCCAAAAATAAGGCTGGGAAATTCAGAAGAGACAGCTATGAGACTCACTAGACAGTATCAAAGCTACTATGCTTTTTCAGATTTTACGACTCCAAGATTAAGTAAAAACTACATACACTTTCAAGGTGTTTCCAGTACTTTACAATTTATATTTGAGATTTCTTTAAAGTTGATGATTACAAGCTAGTATGTTATTCTAGTTTTTACTAAAATATATGTTATATATTTATAACTTGATTTTTCTTTTTGTATATACTTAAAATTACTATGAAAGGCCACATTTTAAACCAGTCTATAAAAACAAAAAAAAAAAGAATTTCAAAAATAAAGCAGCATACCTAGAAGACTCCTGAGTTCTTTCAGTCCCCCAACACCACTCTTCCCACCCCTCTGCCTCTGGCTTCCTCCTCAGTACAGTTACAGGGGTTGAGGTATCAGAATATGAATCAAGCTGTTTATACTACTTACAGACTATACCACTTTAAATGTTTGTTTGGGCCGGAGAGATAACTCAGCAGTCTAAGTGCCTGCTCGACAAGCGCAAGGACCTGAGTTTGATCCTGGTACCACATGCTGTGCCGGCCCTGGGGAACCCAGGTTCACTGTGCTGGCCATCAAAATGGGGCATGATGGCATACCTGTAATCCCAGCACTGGTAAGGCTGAGACAGGAGGATCGCTACAAGTCCAAGCTGCATAGTGGATAAATAACTTTTTTTTTTTTTGCAGAACCAGGGATTGAACTCAGGCCCTTGTGCTTGCCAGACAAGCATTTATTCTACTGAGCCATCTCCCTGGCCCCCAAAATAAAATATTTTTAAAAATTGTAAAAATAAATACATTTCTTCTCTCATGACTCATTTTCCTCATATAAACAAGACAAATTAACTATGCCACCTCTGTTCTAACCTTCTTTGTGAATTACAAATAATGCTGGAGAATGAGCTTTCTAATATACTGTGACTTTCTCCCCCATGAAAAACTCATCTCTGATCCTCTATCATTTCTCCTCTTTCCCTATGCCACATACTGAGTTACTGTACCATCCTTGCATCAAGACAATGAAGGATGTGCTTATACTATACTCTGAGGCCTCCAGGATTTTATACAGGCTGTATCTTCTGTGCAGAACACAAAGCCCATCTACCCCAAACCTGCTCCAACCCCCTTCATTCTCCCGAGGAACTCATTTTTGCTTAATTATTACTGCTTCTACAATTTTCCTGACACTCTAAACAGATTTGGGAGCTGTCTTTCTTATGTTTGGCTCCTGTTGCAGTTCAGAGCTTATATGTCTATATCTGTGGGTCTCCCCTCCTCCTAGAATATCAGCACCTGGAGATTAAGAGCTATGAATTTTCACCACCGGCTCTGTGGCTGGCACACAATAGACACTCAGTAAATGGTAAGAGAATAAATTTAAAAATCAAACAGTTACTCTTTCTGTCTAGCTTGTTAAATAAATACCATCTTTATCTTTACAAGTTATCGTCAGTTAATTCCTCTTAATCCTCCCACAGATGAGAGACACTAAGACTTAGTGCATGATTTTGGGAAAAGGCCTTATAGTAAAAATAAGAGAACAGGCCAAGTTTCTTAAAGGCAAATAGTAGGCAAAGTTCCTCCAAATACAAGACCTATTTATTCTCAGCTCTTCTGGAGCGGGGAGAAGGACCTGTGTCCTCTGTGCCTCAAAGCTTCTTCCAGGTCACGCCTCTCCCAGTTCCATTAGTTCCCTGGCCCTGCTGAGGTCTGTACCATTCGCGGTCAGCAAAGCACTCCCCCTGCTGCATTAGGGCTGCTGCCGTGGCTCTCTGCACTGCCTGTCCTGCCACCACCTTCGGTGACCTCAACACTAATAACCTTCAAATTCCTCAACCTCTAAGATCTTCTAACTTACACATCTCTAATGAACGTCATCACTCCATCTCTGTCTCCGCACCAGGGACAGCTCCTGACCCAGTTATTACGTGTATGGCTTTACTTCCAAAACAATACAACATTCCGCTTTCCAGCCAACTCATCCTGTCCTTCCAGTTTTTATATCCTCAGCCAAGGTCATTCTCTCATATTCCTAGGTTTCCTGGCACAGCTCCTTTCTCCTAATTTATCAGTTCACTCCCATCCCAGTTGAGATTCTTCATATTAGTTCAATCACTCTCTTGGAATGTTTTACTTTTGTCTTTTTTGTCATTCTCAACTATCCAAACTAATTTAAGTATCTACTTGCTTGTTTGAAACAATCCTCAATTGCCAACTATTGTTGATATGTCTGACCAACTTCAAGTGTGTCTTTCCAACTCTAACTTTTCTGTAGTATTTGAAACCCTCAGGGGAAAGAGGAGATAGCTAACCAATGGGACAGGCCCCAGGAAAGCTCCTAGGAAGCTAGCGGGGTTCTGCAATTTGCTGGGTGCTTTTAAGACATTATTAAACATGCTATCTAACTTCAATTGTCAAAAAAATCCACACATTATAAAGTATGCAATGCAGGTCTCTCACGTCGTAACTCCAGATTTACTGCCCCGCAAAGAGAGTATTTCTTAATGCCTCACTTTGCTCACCTGTAAAATTAAAATATTAGAAAAACTCAGAACTGCACTGAGCATAAGGTACTGTATTTTTAAATCAGTGGGCAGTAACCTTTTCCAAATGATAGGTCTAATTTCCAGTCTTTTTTGTTCTTGAGATGAATCATGAGCACTACATTTATTATAGAGCAGAACAAAAATAAATGCAGTATCTGGAGAACAATTTTTGTAAATCACTGGAGCTTAAATGAGAAATAATGTGCTCTGGAGCCTTTAGACAGGAGGGGCTCTACAATTACATCTGGATGAGCTTAGTATTTGGGCAGAGTTCAGGAAAGAGGGTGAGTGTGTGTGTGTGTGTGTGTGTGTGTGTGTGTGAACTGACCTTTTATTATTTTGGGCATGTAACAGGCTATCAATCCTGTATTTTATTAGGAAAAGTGACTACAATGAGCAGTTTTCAGTGCTGCCTATTGCCACCTGAACAGCTGACAGAAGCTCCATGGGCCCAAACAGAAAAATGGACAGTGAGTGAAACAGACTTTGCCACGAGAAGTCAGTGATGAGCTACACCTGACTGTCATGGTCAAGTCTCGTTGGGCCTGAAATTGTTCCTACTTGTAACATAGGGAAAAGTAAGATAGAGGGATCAAGAGAAATCCTGAAAGAAACAAGTGTTAACGATTCTCTATAAATCTGTAAATAAAGTCCAGGTAGTCATTTTCAAAAACTTTTTTTTCTTAAAAATAGGGTCTTACTATGTTTGTAGTTAGGGTGGCCTCAAATTCACAGCCATCCTCCTGTCTCAGCCTCAAGTGCCAGGGTTACAGGCCTGTACCATCACAGCCAGCCCTAAAACTCTTGGTTTAAATCATCATACAAGTGTTTCCAGATCCAAATGAAGACTTCTCTAGGTATGTGTAATTTGGTCTAACAGAGTACATCTCTGATTCCCTCAGCTTATCCCACTTACTAAAACTATCATTAGTAAAAAAGAAAAAGTAAATAAAAGGACCTCATACTCTTACAAGGTCCCCACTGAGGAAGTTACTTCTGCAGCCCTCTTGACTGCAAGTGTTTATTTCCAGCTGCATGATCTGACCCCCAATTACCCACTAATTTCATTATTTAACATCTGCCTTCTCACTCCCTGTGTTCTTCTTCAGTTCCTGCCATGTTCTTTCTTGCAAAAGGGCCTTGGTAATATGCTTTTCCCCTATCCTAGGCCTTACTTCTCTACCATTTCTATCTAATTAACTCATCTTCTTTTCTTTATAGCATAGCTTCATTGGCTCTTACTAAATAAAAGTTCTTTGAGTTTCTCAGACCAGGAGTTATTCCCCTGAGAACACCTAAGTCCTAAATTCACCCAACTACCTGCTTTCTTGACATTTCACCTGAAATGGCATCTGTTGCTGGAAGAAGTCAGGTGATATGGTTTGTGTCTAGTTGTTCCCCCAAAGCCTCAAGCAGTTATGGGATGGACTTCTAGAATTTGTGATTAATTCATGATCCAGTGCTGGGATTATGGATGTGAATGCTGGGGGGCTTATGGGTGTGAGTGGTGTTGGGATTATGGGTGTGAGTGCTAAACCCAGCCTGGGGCAGATATAAGGGAGATGGACTTGCTCTCTATGCCCTTGTTGCTGTTACTCCACCCTTTTGCTCTTGCTGTCTTGCTGTTTTCCACCACCATGAACTGCTGCCCTCTACCATGTACTAGTCTGCCTTGGAGACAGCTGAGTATAGACTAAAAAATTCCACAAACTATAAGTTAAGTAAAACTATCCTTCCTTAATTTTGGGTGTCGGGTTTTTTGTCCCAATAACGAGAGAAAAATAACTAAGACAGGTAAGTGCTACCATCTTCAAACATACTCTTCAAACCTGTAATCCCAAAGCTGGTGAGGCTGAAACAGGAGGCTCACTACAA